TAGAGGGTTACGCTCTCTCGTCAACAATATGTTTAAACAACTCTATTTATTCAATTATGCACAAGCTGCCCAGTGTCGGCTAACAATACGAAGAATTAAATTGTGGCGAAATGCTACAAGTTCTTCAAATACCTACAGAATGATAGGTTTCTTTTTTGTGTAAATACACCAGTTTAAGATTCTAGAACGTTTGATGTTTTCACACGCTGTGTACATTCCCTCTAGACACGATGGATCATGATCGAACATTCTCTCGCTAGCTATCGACCCTGATACATGCCAGTATGCAGTCTGTCTCATATCCTAAGCCGCCGTTAAGCATCGGCGGACTACCACTCGACTTCTCGCCGCGGGACACGGCTAACTTCATTCGCCGCTACAAGCCTCAAGCCCGAGTATTCCCTGAACGCACCCGACGTCTGCGAATGGGAGATATACTCCTCCAGCCCAAGTCACTCGAAGACTTCCGCTACCTTCGCCACCCTTGGTCTTCAAACCCTCCCGTTACTTGCCGACTCCCAAAAACAAAGCCAGACTGCACACAATATTTCTCAGGAACGTTCATTTATCCTTTACGCCAGAGGAAATTCATCAAGGACTTGAATTTACAACCAACTCTACAATCCACGCAGTCCACCGTATCCTGTCAAAGAAAACAGGTTCACCCACCTCGTTCATAAAAGTTGTCACAACTTCCAAAACAACAGCAGATTTCATCCTCACCCACGGCTACTACCTTTATTATCACCATTTTAAGGCAGAAAAACCTTACCGTAAGCCTCACACACCCCATACCTTTCCTAACCCACCCCCAAGCCCACGTTTCTCAACACCCAAAAGAAACCACCGCCAACCAGAACTCTACCGCCCATCCTATTACAATAGACCAAGCTGCTCAAACTTCACCCACTCCTGAATCACAAGACATGTCTACCCAAACCACCACTACTATGAGAAAAAAGGCACCCAGACCCAGCTGCAAGTCTTCACAGTTACCAACGACGCCTATCAAAAAACCAACAACCCGCTTCTCAGCCCCAAGCCACTTTCTACATCATTGTCGTCAATCTCACCGAACGCCTTAGTAATTGACACCTCCCCCGATCTCTACCTACCCGACGAACCTTTCTGTGCCTTCCGCCCACTCACTAACGACTCAGAGGACTCCACGCCTTTACCACCTGCCTGGAACCGGAACCTGTTCCACAATAAAACCATGGCGAACATCAGGAGACTCCACAACTCATTCAAAAGCTAATCAACCCCCAGCACCGGACTTCACTTTGCCTTCCCTACTTACTTCTTCTGGCTAACCGGGCACTGGTAACGGACTGGTCGTTACCAGTGAAGGTGGGTTTTCACGGGGTACTCCCGTTTCCCCCACATTAAATTCTCGGCATAGGATTTTTAGATCCCCGCCGCCCTAAAGGACCATCAGTCCGATATAGGCCGTTTAGTTTAGTTTACTTTGCTCTTCACTTTTTATTGTTTACCATTACTCTCACGTTTACCTTCTTAAATTTACATACCTTGTCTGCATTAATTTCCTTTTTTCTCAAGTTAAGCTCATATTCCTAGACCACGCGCGCGGTGAAGGAGGATTGTTTAACATTCGAGCACCCTAGATTAGTAATTATTTCTTCGGAAATAAATAAGTTTAAATCTAAATAACTGCCAGAAACGAACGAACGATTCCCCCTAGAATTTCAAATTAAACAAACAACAAACGCTCTTGTGTAACAGTGACGGTACTCAACTGATTGTGTAGCTTTATGCTTATTTACAAACAAACTCAACTGATGAAAAAAAATGCATTCTAATGTTCACAAACATGAACGTAACAAAAGCATATTTAATTAGCTATATATATATTTAAAGGTTTATTCTTGGTTTCGCTCTAGCTTGGTAGCTTGTTTTGATGGAACTTAATATTAATTTTGTTGATATTCCAGAGTAATATTTATATTGAACAAAATAAAATAAAATGTCGAAATTCTCAAACTATTCGGTTTTCTTTGTCTAGTATTTATATTGACTTTCAATGGTTTCAGGCTTCTAAAATTTATATTGGTATAAAACATTATTATCAATAGTCTCCCTTATATATTTTTTACTGTTTTATTAGATATATAGATATCATTTATGCACACTTTACCTCTTGTCGAGTTATCGTTATGACTAATAAAATAGAATGTCATATAGCGACTGACGGAGAAAAATCGTGTTAATCTTGACGGCAGACTATTCGAAGTTTTATCTCGCCATTTATAACTAGAAAAGCACTACATTTTTTCTCTATTTATATTTGAGCAATTCTTACTAGGTTGAACACGCTATAGTATTATTGATCATAATTTATTAGATACATTTATTTAGGAATATCCATTAAAAGTTACGTTCAAACTTTTACTCGAAACAGTAATGATTTACCGATATCACTGTAATTGACAAGGCTATGATACGAGATAAGAATATCATTCATCTAAATTAGTGCTAATATTAACATACATACTTAGTAATAAATCCGTTTTATTTTTTATAATAATTCCACGTTAATCGATTCCGATAATTATGTTATTAATTCCATAAACAATTTATAATAAAAAACTCATTATACAACACTATGTAGAACATAAAATACTTGGGTTTCAGTCAGTTCTCTCAGAACTTTGCTCAACACTGTCACACTGTTTTCCTTAAAAGCTCTAGTCACTTCACATTTCCAGAATTTTCAACAAAGAACTTAGATTGTGACTCTACTGAAGATGGGGAAGAATTATAAAGATGATAAATCTCCTGGAGAAAAATTAATCTGTGACTTTGTGGCTTTTAACAGGCTCATCAGG